GCCTACATTGACTTCAGCAAAGCTTTTGTCAAAATTCCTTACAACCGGATATTATATAAGTTAAGAAATGTTGTGGTTGGAGGCCAACCATTAATTTGGATAAAATACTTCCTAGTTAGACGCCAACAAAGAGTATGGCTGAAATTAGGGTTTTCTTGCTGAGAAATTGTGCTTAACAGAGTATCTCAGGGTACAGTCTTGAGGCCAATGTTGTTCCTCTTCTGCGTAAATGACCTTCCCAGTATCTTATCATCATCGGTTTTGCTATATGCTGATGATGTCAAGATGTGAAGAGCAATAAAAAGTAAAGGTGAAACCTTAAAGCTTCAGAATGACCTGTAGAAATTATCTGGACGGTCTCAAATCTGGCGGTTGCTGGCAAATACTTCCATGTGTATTGTGACTCCTATTGGTCATCAAGGTACAGATAAATGCATGATGAATAACATTGAGCTACCTGTTACCCAGACACAAAATGACTTAAGGGTCATCGTCAAACTACTGCACACTTCCGTGCAATAGCCGCCAAAGGTTTTACAACCCTACTGGATCAGTACGCAGGGCATTTACCCATGTCGACAGTAAAACTTTCCTGACTTTGTACACAGTATTCGCGCGTCCTAAACTTGAGTACTGCATACAAGCGGCTAGCCCCTGTTTAAAAAAAGACAGTGAGCTTTTGGAAAAGGTTCAGAGAACAGTAACTACGCTGATTCCTGGAATGGCAAATCTCCCGTAATATTTTCAACTGGCTGAACTAAACGTATTTCTATTATCATATCGAAGGACCAAAGGTGACTAGATTTCAATCTTCGAAATACTTAAAGGGAAATTTGGATCTGATATTGCTCTCATTTTTCTTGACTTCCAAAATACAGAATTTACGAGGACACTTCAGAAAAGTTCAAAAGCCAAGAACAAATTACATGTCAGCTGACCATCGGCCTTCCCATCGAATCATCAACCAGTGGAATTCATTACCTCAACACGTGGTCGAAGCTTCATCTGTCAACGCTTTAGAAAGGAAGTTGAACGAACGGCGACCACTATTAGGACTGACACTGGCCATCTAGCCCACTGCCTTTACAGACTGAAACTGAGGCCGAAAGGTGCGACAAGGCATTCCAATATAATTCTCAAACAGTACTTAACAGTTTAAGACGGAACAACTAAAAGTGTGATGAATTAAGGGACCAAACTCACACTAGCCATTGTCGCTGAAGTAAAATTCGGTTAAAGCCTTCACATAAAAGAACGCCATATTAAAGAACGATGAGTTGTAGTGTTTAACAAGGTGAAGTGGGTTCAAATTATGCAAAGCAAGTCGGAGCTAAAATAAAGAAGTAGCAGGTGTAAGTAAGTAAGCACAGCTACCTAGAAAATGGCTTATGACAGCGGACTCGACGGGATTCCTTCGTCATTTGTGAAATATGGTAGCAGAGAACTTCCACTATTTTGTTTGAAGCTTCTCAACCTATCTATGTAATATAGGGCGTATCCATCTGTATGGACAACATCTCTTAACACCCCTAGATTCAAAACGGGATCTCGTAGTGATATTGTTAACTATAGGCTCATTAATTTGCTATCAAGAATCATGGAAAAAATCATTTGCGAACAACTATTATCATTTTTCTTTCGGCTGGTCTGATTAGCCCATCTCAACAGAGGTTTATGTCTAAACGCTTATGCTTCACGTTGCAACCGGAATTTTTCGATCAAGTTACCCAGAGAAGAGATGTTGGTCAGTCATTGATAACTCTGTACCTCCATTTTAGTGGGGCTTTCGATAGTGTCTCATACAAGCGTCCTCTTCTAAACTGTCTTCATTTGGAATACAGAATCCCCTTTTATCTTGACCGAAATGTTTTTTGGAAGAACGTAGCCAAATCGTCCGCTTGTGAATGTAACCAGTGGAGTTATTCAAGGATGTGTGGTTGGTCCATTACTCTTTCACCTTTTCATCAGTTGGGTGTGTTTCCTCTTTCAATTTGGCAAACCTTTCCGTTCTACCGATGACCTAAAGGTGGTTTGTTCATTTTCTTCTCCTACCAAAAAAGCTATATTTCAGCGGTAATCCAAGAAGAAATAAACAAGTTGTACGAATGGACTGTTTCGTGGAATTTGCCACTAAATGTTGATAAAATTGGATTTATTCACATTAGCCGATGCACTAACCTAAATCCAGCTATACACAAACATACACTGAAACCTCTCAACAATGTTTGTGACTTGGGTTTAAGATAGAGCGACATTCTGAAATTTTCTGAGCATCTCAAGTATTCAAGGCTAGAAAGCTCATCGGATTCGTAATGGTAAACTTCAGTAATATCGAATCAAAATTATTATTATGAAGAAAATGTATCTTACCCATTTTTGAATATTGTATTTTAGTTTACAGTAACTGCTATCATAATGACCTGACTAAAATTGAAGGTGTTGAAAGAAGGTTCACCAATGCTGTTTCGGGGTATTCCGACAACAAAGAATATCAACAAAGGTGTCAAAAACTCAAATTAAAACCTCTCTAGATCAGATGTATCAAATTAAACCTTGTCTTTATCTTCCGGCCTAATAACGGTATTTTCTACTCTTCGGTATCCACCCTTCCATACTTTATGATATCATCACACAATCCACGCAATAAGAAAAATATTATAGCTATTCCAAAAACCTACACAAACGTACGCCAGACTTTTTTCGTTATTCGGTACTCAACCATGTGGAAAGGACTGCCAGTGAACCTCCGTTGTAGTGAAACTAAAACCCCGTTCAGAAGTTCCCTCGATGATTTTCTTTCTGAAAGTGGATTGTGTCATCTATTGAATATCAGCGTGTTTAATAATGATTTACACAAAAGCGTCATACATTTTGATATTTGGTTTTCTTTTGCACATCGTTGAGACTTTCATGGTATCACTCCAAACTATGGCTGCACAAACACTTATTCGAACGTCATATCTTACTGCAATAACAAGTTATTTTTCTTAATTATTTTTTATTTTATTTTTGTTACTAATTCGGCGATACATGCATAGTCGTTAGTTCTTGTTCTGTGTTCATAAACACGTATATTAAACTATCCACAGATTTCATGTCTCCTTTATTTCTTTTCCCTTTTATCCTCCCTTTCCTTCTTTAAAGTCAATTCAAAATTCTTCTCATTTACACAGAACCTGATTTATTATTACTGTTCTATTCTCATTATTTTCGTTTTTTCATTTTTTTCATATATGTCAAATGAATGCTAATATTACCGAAACTTGTGTATTATCTCATTTTTGAAGAAACTCGATATGGTTTCTTCATAACATTTATGTACCTATAAGATGTTTGTGAATAACAATAATAGTAATAACTTCAATACAAAACAAGTAAGTGAATGAACACTTGAGCTCTATTGTTTTGACACGTACTTAGTTCTTTGAGGTCAACCATTAACTAATCAACCCAAGTTGTTACACGTTTCGCAGTTCCATGAGGTTGGTCTGTTAAGTGTTTCATGATAGACGTGCAATTCAGTATGAGCCGTCGATGGAAACTTACCAGGCCGTTAAACGTACGTAACCGCTTGACTGTGGTTGGTTCAGGGTAGTCCAGAATGGCCGCAGTTTGGCTTTTCAGACGGTGGATGCCTAGGGCATCAATGGTATTTCGGAGAAAATCTAGGTAGTTAGCTCTGATCGGACATTTCTGAATGTTGACAGTATTTCGTGCTTTGAGAGTCGTTTAAATGCAAGGCTCAGGTGCTGGAGGTGAGATTCTCTGTCCGAAATTGCGATCAAGCAGTGATCGACGTATGCGTGTACGAAGCTGAGACATCTGAAGACATAATCGATAAATTTGTTAGGAGCTTATGCAACATTTCTTAAATCGAAAGGCATGTAAAAGATTCTTTGGGTCCGAAGGGGGTGACGATAGGCTTCTCAGGAATGTCATCAGCAGACATGGGAATTCGGCTATATGCTTTAACCAAGTCGATTTTCCCAAAAATAGTCGTGCCTTTTAAGGTGGCTGTCAAATCATGAATGTAAGGTGACGGTCAACGATCAGGAGTGGCTTTCGTATCCAGTCACAGATAATCACCAGTCTGACACTAACCGTTACTGATAGACGCTAATGATCTGTCTGGCGGCGGGATAGTTCCCAAGTTTATCATGTTCTGGAATTCGATGCTGATCAACCTTGGGTTTACGAGAGCTAGTGGGCGAATATAAAGTATAGCAGTGAACGAGAAAAAGTATCCAAAAATATGAAATCACAATATATGATATATAAAGTTTCAAAAAGGAATGGACTCATAGTATATTGTTTGGTGTACCAGATCACGTCTGCCTCGCCACTAAAGATCCCACAAGTCTCCGGACTTTGACAACACCTTAACCAATAACACCTTTTATAATCGAAATGGGACAACCCAAGTGAAATCAGAAGCGAAGAGACCCGATGATATATTTGATAGAATATAAACATATCAAGAAGTGAATAATCTAAGCTGACTAGCAATTGTAAGAAAAATGAACCACAGCGTACTCATTCGTGATCTGATGTGGATACGTGACCGAACGTCTTCAGCTAGGTGAGTCAATTAAAAGTAATTAGGTCAGCATTAGTGAAGATTTACAGGACTATTTATTTAGGGAACTTATTTACCACTACACCTTTGCAACGAGCTATCATGATGGTACTTCCTTTTAGCCTTTTAAGTGAAGGCACAATTTTCGCTTCACCTTCTTCGGTAGTAAGAGCGACAACATAATTGACTTTTAAATCACTTCTCGTAGAATTAATCATTTTTTGTCTATCAACATTAGGAAAGGAATGATAGCCTTGTTTTTTTGTCATAGGACCAAAACAAATAAAGTATAAACCATTCGTTTTATCATTTATAGTTACCGGAATTGCCTGTTATTGATTTGTTTAGCTACACCAGAAGACATGTACTGGTTTGTGCAGACTTTCGTATTTGGCAAAATTACAGGATGAACATAGGCGTTCAAATGGCTCATCACACAATTTTCATCGTTGCAGTGCTGCTTTGTAAGTCCCTTGAACGCATCCGTAATCGATTTTTAACTGAATTCTGTCTCCTTTTTCACGTTTGAGTTATATAGTTATGATGTCAAACGACACATTTTGAAGATCGAATTTTTATATCCCATGAAACCCTGCTATAGTTATCTTTGATTGTTTGATTTTGTTCTGCATCTTGTAAATGTACGACTTTTTCCAAGGAATTAAAGATTATAGTGATTTTATCCGTGTGATCAAAGAACGTTTTTAATTACTGCTTATTCATTGCATATGTATATGTATATATACATATTCATGGAGGTGCGCACTTGCCAACACAATTAAAGAAATGTTCTGAAACTTTCTTAGTGTGTCTATTACGTCGTTGGTGTTTAATAATCATGGTTCTACACTTATGATTTGTTGTATGTTGGAAGTTACGTTATTTACACAAGTATACTCGTCTGGCCAAGTCACTTCTTCGGCTGTATACAGTCTACCAAGCTTGGCAGACGAAACAGAAGCGCACACGATATTTCCTTTGGCCAGGTCAGTCAAATTCATGCAAAGTCGTTCTGTGTTTTCACAATCTACAGGCGTGCACATGTTGCAATTCAACAATGCTTGTGACTGTCAGCAAACATACGATAAATGTTTTCAAGGAAAAGAAGTTAGCGAACAGCTTCTGCATGCGAAACTGAACGGGAAATTTCGCGCTAGTTCATCAGAAAATTTAAATGTCGGCCAGCGTTGTGAAGTTTATTTCAGAGATTTCAGACCTTCACAAACTGATAATGAGTACAGCCAGCCTACATATGATTTTCATGGTAGAAGAGATAGTGAAGGTTTTTCCAACGCTTCTGGTGCATTCACAATGTCAAATCTTCCCTACCTCATCGAGGTGTCGCCGTTTATATTTTCTTAGAAATCGTTACTCAAGCAGGGTTATTGCTCACTGACTTCACGTACTAATGCCATAGCTCAAACCCTGGATCTATTTCTCACATATCACTGCTACGTCTAGTTGAGCTATTCTGCTGTGCACAAGTAAAAAACACTCAATCTCTCTTTATCCAGTAAACATTAGGCGTACATATGTAGTTTCGATCACCTTTGATGACATTATACAGTTGTGTCCCAGTTTGAAATTATATCGCTTTTTGCACTTAGTTCTTTCCATGTAGCTCTTCGATTTTAATGAACGGAAGTTAATGCTCTTTATTCTTAGTATTGTGAAGATCTTTTATTCCTTTGAATGTATCAAAATAGGATTAAGATGCTACGTTTTATGATTGAGGACCTTAGTAGTTCACTACATAGTGCTAGAAAGTCAACTTCAAAAGTGAACGATTCGACCTTAGTTTTTGAACTGTTAGAAGGTGTCCTCTTATATAATAGTTCACATTATGTAAATTCGCAGTACTGTTTAAACTTTTCAATACTTAAAGTAAGTAGTAAGTATCTAAAATCTATACTAACCATTATTTACTAAGTAGAGTTACGTTAAAATACTTGTTTCAGCTTCTGGGATTCGTTTGGCATATACTATTATGAGAAACTTTATGTTTCCTTTTTATGCGAAAGGCAGATAAATGACGTGGCTCGTAGATAATTTATGAAATAGATGACTAAGTTGAGTAATAGTCTGTTGAAAAATTTCATTCCAGTTAAACCCGCACGAGATATTGTGTGACAAGACTAAGTTCTTGAAAACTGTTTGGACAGTCACTATCGGACTACAGATTTTCTCAACAATCTATGTAAGATCTTGTACGAATGATATAATAATAAATCCTTCAATGAGTTATGTGAAACCGATGCTTTGATAGGTATTCCCCCCATAACATTTTTTGCTTACCTCTTTGGTTCAAATTAATTCCCAACTTTGATTTTTCATCTAATAATATTTCATTCTAATCATTTGAACCGTTATAATCTTTTACTAAATAATTCGTTCACAAAGGATACTTGAGCAACCTTTGATAACCTATTCTGTCATAATCTATCTTTTAGAAAATATGTATGTAATTATGGCTTTAGGTGTACCGAAATGTTTTTCACATGTTTTTTATTTCCACCCGGACTAGCCAAAAGTTCATTTAGTACATTTAAGTGTATTGCGTATTTCTATGTGTAAACAAAAAATGTTCCAATTTATGTCCTAGTTTAATAATGAAAATAGTTTACCAGACCTATGTCATTTTGAATAACACATCTCATATGATTTATATGAAAAAAACCTCTATTCATCATTTGTCATGCAAGATTGACTAACCACGATTGTGAGTCTGATTCCTGGTTAAAAATGCCCGTTACTCTAATGCAACTAGGCAGTCACAGGGATATGTTCCATTATTTTTACTCCGTTTGATTTTTTCACGATTGCTTACAATTAGATCTATAGGTAAAGTGCTGAAATTTCATCTATTCTAATTTCGTAATAGTTACTACTGTTTAACAATATTATGTATTTTCACATTTATGTACATTGATAAGGTTACTAACAAGAGTCCCTTAGAGTGTTCTGGGTTGTGTTTGTATGTTCAACTCGTGAATGAATATCTGAAACTGAATTTGGTCTCGAAGTCTAGTATATGTCTTTAGGTTATTCCCTGACTGTGCTTACTTGTTTTGATAGTTAAGAAGGTCAGTTGTCACTGCATAAATTGCCTTTATGGTTTTCTCATTGCGGTTGACAAACCACAGCTCTAAAATTAAAATTTTAATCAACTCATAAAATGGGAAAATAATTACTAAATGTGCTTGTTACCTATTTGCTTTTAATAAGTCAAGCAAATCAGATAGAAGGCTTAGTTGACCATGAAACCTAATATGTGGACGGAAAAGCTGTAATAATCCAATTAATGAGGTTTTAAGGTTTCATAAAGTTGATTGGCTATTATGTACAAAACATGTACTAAGCATTGCGTAAATTAGTTTGCGGTGCTTGGTTGAATATGAACAGGTGGAAGGTGACCAAACGAAAACATAACATCTGCTCATGAAGTATTCCCTTGGCTTTCCGAGATGTGTCGACAATCGTGGACCATCATATTAGAAGAAAAAAATTAACTTCTAATCAGAGATTTTTTTGATATGGCTCAAAGTTGCAGTCACGAAAACTTACTTATTTTTTCTATTTCTCCATATTTTGAGTTTTAGTCTCATTTCATGCCTGCTGGTTGTTTTAATTGTTTCTTCTAAAGATTTATTTTCCATGTTTTTCCTGAAATGTCACTAAACTTATGATTGTTTAAACCCTTATTTTTCATTTTGTTTATTTATCGCCTATGAATTGATGTAAATTGTGGCAATTTAGATAGATGCACATTTTGTATTAAATGTCGATCAATTTATAACTGACTGGCTGTCTAGCTTAGACAGTCAAAGTGAAGAGAACTTAACAATACGTGAGGCTTTCTAACTTTTGGTTCTGGTTTGTTGTAAGTTTTTACATAGAAAAGATTACATTTGTGGTAGTCATATTGCATACAAATAGTCACTTTCACTGATGTGCCTAGTTACTCTAAGTGTTACCTAATTATGATTGTAATATGTTAGTATTTTCTTGAAGCGCTTAGGCGATATATAATGCATTCGATCTGAGTAACTCACTTTACTTACTATTTACTCTTAGTACTTGGATTTAGTGCTGTCATCATTTTAACTGCATAACTATCGTCCTGTAAATCTCCCTAAATCATCTATTTTTCAATACACATTAAAAAGTAGTAGTAATCTTAACTATTCAAGATTGTATGATTATAGGCTTATAAACATGTCATATCACTGTATTTTATGCTGGTTTTTGAGTACCATGTAAGAATGATAGATTTTTTTATCGACTATGAATAGAGATACTGTTGTTGTTATCATATATTGTCAACAATATGTGCTTAAGAATATTTTCACTGGCTAATAAAATATCTAGAACAAGCGCGTGATTTATATTGTTATATTTGTAGTAATTTGACACATTATTACGTGATTTAATCCAACTAAATCGTTTTATAGATTATAATTTGTATTTAGCAACAGATCATCAGTTGTTTTTCTAGTTAAGATATTTTTGTGCATGTGTAAGTCTATTAACATTAAAATAGCAGAATATATCTAGTCAACTGACGTAACAATTCGGAAGTCGCGTTTCCTATATTCTGATACTGAGAGAATCTTATTTTAACCTGAATCATTGTTGAAGCATACAAAAACTAACCCTACTACAACGAGCATGGCCTTGATGTAGTCGATATTAATGAAAATGAAATTAAAATCACACCATGATACATCAGTTATTCTCAAGACATTCTAGTCAAATGTGTAGTTTTTTGAGTCACGTAGTACGTAGTTATCAATCGGTAGTTAACTGTTATGTGATTGTTATCATAGTGTTCAGAGAATGTAAGGAATATTTTACCTACAAGATGATAAGTTTAAAGAACCTGTTCAGCCCTGTTTCTGTTGATAAGTCTATATATATTTTTTAAAGCTTTCATTTATATCCTCTATAAACAATAATTTGGTATGCATGGTTGCTATTTGGACAAACCATTAACTTGGTGATTTTACTGAAATACAGCTTATTGTTTGACACTTTATGTTATTCATTATCTTTCGTATTTAGATAACTTTATTAAGGCTCACCAAGTCGCTCATTCCCTCGTCAGTTACTCAAGGTTTATTAATGTCTTAATTTTACGGAATTCAAAACTATAAAAAAGGATGAGAAACGAAATAAAAAATAAAGTAACATGATTAAGTAGCTAACTGTGAAATAAGTGAAGTCAAGGGGCAATTAAATGGACAGAAAAAAAAAGATATTTGATGTGTCGTGTTCTCAACAGAGAATTTAATCTTAAATTCATATATTAGCAAGCGGAATTTGTGGATAAGTTATGAATGCACATTTGTTTTTACTTAATTGGGCAGACACTAAAGTAGAACTAATGTCGTCCTGCAATTACAAGTGGATAAGTGTTAAGATATGGAAATATCAATTAAATTATACGTCCCTTATCTGCTCTGAAAGTTCCGTCAGGTCTTAAGACAAAACAGTTTATGATCGATTAATGATCAATGACTATTTTTAAAACCAGACTAGTCTTAACGAGTAAATTTTGTTCTCGAATTCCTGATTGTCGATTGAGTAACGGACGTTTGGGTTACTAAAAAGCAACCCCATTTTATTCCTTGGTATTGAGATTTCAGACTCAGTTTAATAACAAACATAACATTTGGTTTTATGGGTTTCTGCTAACTACCTCTAAAATTTGAACAACTTTTCTACTATTAGCTATAGTTTTTGTCAAGGTATTTTCCTTGAGCGTTTTGTTTCCAATAATTCTTCTCTTGCTTGTACACTTCACCTTAGTTAATTCGGATGGTGAAGTCACATGTAGTTAATTTTATATTCAGTGGTCTAGTTTACCGAATATCTACAGAAAAATACAATCTCTCGGATAGTTTTTCTCAACTATTTTTAAAAATGAAATGGTTCACTTAATTATCTTTGATTTAAAATTTATTGTCTTGAGTAAGTGTTTAAATTACTAAATGGTTAAGAAGTTTTATATCGGCCGATTGATTAAATTTTAAATTGATTTATTGAGTTCCATAATTTGGCAGCTACAATATCAACGATTGCTTTATTTACAAAGTTGAAAATTCCATAGTCATGTTACACAGGTAATAGTTTTCACCCTTCAGTTTTAGCTCAAATTTGTGATTTACCTGTTACATGATATAAACAGAATGATTTCGAACATAAATAAGTCTTTAAAATAAATAGAACGATGATTGAGACTTACACGAGCGTTGGTAATTTTATTCTGTAAGTAATATGGTTTCTAAATAAATGTCAAGTTCGATTCCCATGAAACACGGGAAAATGACAGGTTTTTCCCACCTTTTTCCCAAGATGAATACTGATTAATATGATATCTGCGTTGGTTTGCTCATTATTGGAACTTTTTGTGAGACCTGACAGTTTACTGTGTATGATAACACGTATTTGTTATAACTTGTGACTGTGGATTAGACGGCAGCAAATTATCGATCGGACCAAAGACGCGTAAACACGTAAAAACGGCCTAGAGTTCTAATTGGTCCCACCTCCCTGTCTAGCCCAGCCAGTTGAGTCCAGAACGCAAGTCTCAGCCTCTGAGATATGAATCACTATATTTCAAGCATACTGAGTTTATATGCCAAACAAACCGACCATAACGAACCAATAAAATATGAAACAACATTTGTACAAGAGTTAGCCAGATGTTGCTGTGCATGAGGGAGGTAGCGATTAACAGACAGGGAATAATTCATGAATGGTAAATCGTATAATAATAATTCATGGGTCAAAATATAGCTCACAATAAGAGGGACATGAATATGAACAGTTCAGTTACATAACAATTATACGATAAAAATATAGTAATAATATTGGTCCATAAATGGATCCCAAAAATTAACGTTCATTATTCTTATCGGGATGCAGCAGTAATTATCCAAATGCAGTTATGAAAGATAGTTTTGTATCAACGTTAGTAAGTGTAGAAAATGATCGTGATGACACAAATTGGTTTGATTCAGTATTTTTGAGAGTCTTAAGTGCAGTTATAATTCTAAGCTTGTGTTTGTCTGAATCGAAAACTTAGAATTGCGATATTTCAAGTAGATTGGTCTACATTCGGTTTGAAGATCATAATTTTAGGTCTGTAAGCTACCTAATGCGATTTTAAAGTGTTCTTAGTTTATGTTTGAAATATTTGTAGAATGTTTTGGGTTATACCGATAGAGAACTGATTGTTCTTAACCTGGTCACTACTTAGACTTGGTTGCTAGAAAAACTATGCGAATAGCATTAAGCTTACAAAATTGACGATTTCCTAAGAATGAAACCCAGCCATGAAAGTAAAATTCAATATTTTATTGTGATATATTGTATTATTGAATTAAAATGACAAGTGACATATCCAGAATTCTCTTAACCTCTCTATCACTTATAAATGTAATTAGCTGATTAAGTAAAATTGACAAATTAATTAATGCAGTTGGGATATTTGATATTTGACAAAAATAATCAAACATTATGCGTAGTGAAATGACAGTAGGTTTTAGAAAGGCTAAGGGTAATTAGACCGGATGTTAATGATTGGTGAACACATTTACTGTTAGTTAGCATAGTTTCAGAATGTGTCAACTCACTATTTGAGGTCCATGAAGTAATTTTTAGATCAAGATTGACCGCACCAGTGAAGATATATTAATTCTTTGTTTTTCCTTTGAAAACAGTATAATTGTCCATTGTTCGCTATTCATTTTGCGTCATTTACATGTTTCTAGATTTCAACCACTGTCGGTGTTATCATTTTTTCTTCCATACTTTTCCTCTTGTTATTGTCTTCTCCTTATGCTAATGTGAAGTGTGGGAAGTTCAACTATTGAGAACTTTTATAAAGTCCTACTTTACTTTTATTTTTCTTTATCCAATTTTGTTTGAATGTACATTGTCCTCTGAATATGTTGTGTTCTAAAATTTCGATGTTAGTTGTCTTTCAGTATATGTGTACCATACGTTATGATGATTTTTAATATGCATGCAGTTATCTTACAATTATTATTGTTGTATCTCACAGGTTGTGTCTGTTTGACAGTTTCATCAAATGGGAAAGTATCCGTCATTGATCTACCTTACGTTTCCGGAGAATGGTATTGGAAACTGCGTTTCTTTTATCCAGTCAGTGAAAGCGTGAGCATCTGTTTTTTTAAAATGATACCGTCAAAATTATTTTATTATAAATGTAGGTGGATGGAAATGTTGATGAACTACAGAACTATACGTTTATTCCGAAAACAACCTCATCTTATGTACATACAAATGAAACTATAAAACCAGATAACCAACTAATTAGTATTAATTTGGTTATGTCCACAGAAGGTTCCAAACTACAGAAATGTGTTTTGTTGTTAACAGTAGAGCAGGATGAGGAATACTTTGCATGGACAAATATGACATTAATATATCAGTTCGCTGAGCCTTTATCCACTTTATCACAATCTGAATTACCTACTTCTGAAGCCAAAAGTATGTATCGAACAGTTAAATTGAACATAAGGTCTACTTAACCGATTCCTTTATTTTTCACAAATATAGTTTCCACTTCGTCTGATCAAAAATTTTTAACTCGTACTGATGAAGTGTATGTGTGTGATACAGAAATACCAATTAAATTTGGTCACAGTGTTGAGATTGTCTTTAATTCAATGACATTTCAAGCATTTAAAGCTGAAGAAACAATTAGACCAGATCGTAAGGATACTGTTATTCTTGTTATACGTCATTCAATTATATTCTAATCTTTTCTAGGCTTACGAGAAGTTTGTCCACGTGACTTCAAGAGTAATATACCAATTACAGCGTTGACTGGCGTTTCATTGCTTGTTGTGGTAGTACTGATTGTTTCAGTATTTGGAATAAATGCTTATTTGGCTCATCGTAAACGGAAGCAGCACTAAACGAATTTGTTTTATTTATTGTACATGAATAACTAATCTAAGTAAATATAGGCTTATTGTATCGTCTACAGAATCCTTATCAGGTTCACTGCTTTTCAAACATTGAACTTTTATGCACGTTGTCTACAGTTATGCTGTTGAGCTTCACTGTTGTTAATAAATTTATTGTATGCAATGCTCTTTATTTGTGATTAGCAGTTTTAGTTCTTAATTTAGAAAAAAAATTTAATTATATATTCATTATTTGTTAATTTTTCATGCCTTGGTGCATGTATATGGTCTTCAATGTTTATTGTACATTAATTTGTTGTAACAAAAGTGAAATATCTTTAGTGTTCCCTTATTTTTACTCTCTCTTCATATATATATGTGTATAATTTAAAAATAAAAGATATGAGATGAAGTAAATGAATGACTATGAAGAGAATCAAATATTTTTATGGATTAATACTTTTGATTTTTTTTATTTATTTTGTTCAACTACGAAAAATCAAACTTCTGTCATGTTTCATATTTATATCCATGTGAATTATTATTGTTAAAGTTGTTAGTATCTATGTGATTGTAAAGTTGTAATAAACTTGTTAAATTAATTATATCACAGTAATATTATTTATGAAAATAATAATTCAATAAATATTCGATTTTTAAAAAAAAAGTTGTATAATCTACTAAATGTTCAGTGGTTGTGCTTCGAATTGCTATCAAAGAGCATTGTATTACACTGGCCAATATAAACTAACATTTATAGACCTTTAAACGAATGCACATAAATATTATTGTTTTTTCTTTGATAATTTTGTTAGTTTTAGTATTCTTTTTTGTTAATCTTGCTTATCAATGATTACAGAATGATACTTCATCGTTATTAACTTCCTTTCTTCTAACATAATGTCTGTTCGAGCCTAATACTGCATAGATGGCTTATGGGCTAAAATAGTTCAGTTTTACCCAATAATTCTCAAGTTCGAACCCTACTCCATCTTTTTTAACTTAAACAAGCGAGTAATGTCACAGGCGGTCATAAAAGTGGTATGGTTCAAAAGGGATTACATATTCTCGGTAGAAAAATTACTTTTCAGTGCATTATTTTCATGGAGTGTAGGACTTTTGAGGCTATCTATTTTCATTTCACTTGAATATATTGCAGTACGCGGACTATCATTTAACGAAAAAGACTCTTACTCTGTTGAGTATTAAGAAATAAAAAATATTTTCTTGCAAAATATCGCCAACTAATTATCGGTGTCATTATGGGCTACAATGTTTGTCCACCATTGAGAATAATATTTCGATATTTGGTTTAACCTATGTATTGGTAGAAATACGAAATCTTATATTTGATTAATGTGAAATTTCGGATAGTTTCATTTCATATAACAAATTTCCTTGAAGATATCAATGAACATAACTAAAACAATTGGTGTTTCATTGTCATCTAGACGAAATTAATTTGCAAAGGGAATCTAGTCAAATTTCTATATTTTACAAATCTTTGATCAAGTTACTGGTTATATGATATATGTGTGATTAACAGAAGAACTTGACAGATTATAATGCTCTGTCTACACATGTGTCAGTGATAGACTTATGAAATTGGATCCAAATTTGAATGCAAATGTTTTGTTCGACTGTTTTTTTAGCACGCAAAAAAATTCAAGGTTTAAAAGTTTTAGTTTTACTATATAATTATAAACTGAGTTAGTATAAAATTACTGGCATAATGCTCATTTTTATCTTGAATTTTTTCGTTTTAATAATCCATTGTCATATCTGAAAGTAGTCTTTTTAATTAAAGAAAAACTAGGTATAAGATAGTAAGTATATTTGGAACTTTAAGATAATAGGCAGTTGTTGTGTGTAGTGTATCACTATTACAATAATATAGTTATGAATGTTAAAGTGTGGCTGATTAAATCAGTGATTTCTAATTTTCATTGAAAAGTTGTTAAAATAAAATGGTTTCCCTTTATTTATTGTTATGGTTTTTTGTTAATGTTCGTTTACAAAGTTAATAACCTAAATAATAAAGGGTTTTGATGATAGTTCCGTATTTATTTTAAACCATTTTAGGTGATCTTTACCGTCTACTGCTTTAGTCTAACTGTTCAAATGAAAAAATCATCATCTTGAATTCATGTATCATTTAGCCATGTCCTAAATAGTTTTTTTGTTTATCGTTATGTCACTTCATTGAAAATTAGGTTTGGACAAAAATTTTCCACATCAGAAATTTTTGCTTTATCAACTTTTGAACAAACAGTGCTTCCAAGTTTTCCATGGTGGTCTAGCTTTAATTGACTCATGAACTCAACTATTAAGTAGTTTTCTCACTATACTGAAGTGAACTATGTATCAGTTAAGGTAATTCATTAACGGATTCGATTAGATTACATAATTTCCGATTTGTTTCAACTATAGTATAAAATGATAAACTAGCGTTACTCATAGTTATTTACAACTTGTTGAGATTAAGCTGAAGTTTTCGGATGTTAATTGTTAGTGAATATGTGAAAAATCATTTGAATTTGTATATTTTTGGTCACCGACTGATATTATTTACGTTATCATAAGAAACATATGGAATATATCTGACTTCCTAGTGTAAAGATGATCCACTCGTCTTAAGGTCTGAATGTTCTTAGGTTCGTTAACATACACTGGTGATTCGTCTGTCTAGAAGTGCCTCATTTTCTTTATTTTCCTGGTAAATACCAATTCATGACAAATTCATCTTAGAAATAATTTTTAGCCTAAATATCCATACTTGCTTTAACTGTATCTCAAAATCCTCAGTGTAACAGACTGAACTTTATGTATTATAATATTTGGTATTTTGGCATTATTTATGAGATAAATCAGCTAACAAATGAGGTATAATTATTCTTTAATAAAAAATTAAGTATTTTTAGCCATTGCAGTAATTTGGATGTTTATAGATGAATCTTGTTATTTTCATTTGATGAAGACTATAACTTTTGTCTTATTTGTATTTACTTAACATTTTATGGTGGGTATTTTTGGATAAGAATCTAATGAGAACTTTTTATATGTTGTATCCACAAGAGTTTTTTTACTCTTAATTGACTCTTGAGTAGTCTTTAATTTTCTGTGGCTAGAAACATAACTGATGATATCAATATTTAGTGTTTGTAATCGGTCTACTTCAATTAAACCACACTGTTGTGTTATAACACTTATCTTCGACCTAATATGAATTTATCATTTACTTGATATTTAAACAAGAGTTACTTATTCTGATTGAGGTTGAGTTTCATTAAGCACGTAGACTATTCTGAAAACGTTCGATATTAGGCTGGAAAAGTGCTTCAATCAAATTTGCCAATTCGAAAATTTGCTTGTCTATGGATAGTAGATATTTCAAATTTACTTCCCTTCACTCAGAGTTAGCTTTGGAATGCTCGTTCGAAGAGTAATTAGCCTTTAGTGCATATATTGATTTCCTCACGCGGACAATTTCTTGGGATTTTATCACACTGGGTCACATAATCTAGAAGCTATTCATGGAGAAGAATTGTTTCTACCATCATATTTTGATGAATACACGCACAATGATTAGTGTCACGTTAATAATGTTCAGTCGTAATCGAGAGAAAGCCTAATGGCAATGAATTCGAAGAATAAGCAATATATTGTTTAATCTTTTTATAAATAGTTTATTTTTTACTTACTCAGTTAAATCAACACTTCAGTATCAACAAGAGTTGAAGAACAATCAACAAAATACTGCAAAAGACTCAGTCTCTTTTAATTCAGTTAATGTAACTGAGTGTATTGAATTGAAGGATGCTAATTTGAACATCAATAATCAACAAAGTGGAACAATGAATTCAAGTTCAAGAAATTCACGTTTACCACCATTAAATAGAATTACCGTTATCTCTCAAGATGACTTTCATCAGTTATGTGCTCTTCTGGAGTTTCGCGGTTATTTTCTTATTACATATACAAACAATCGTTCGAAAGAGGTAAGTTTTATTTTTTATAGCTTAACTGAAAATTATTTAAAGTATAGTTTCATGCGTATTTAGTTTTACCGTGTTCAAGGTTTCTGTTATTCTGTACTTCTATGTTTATTCTGAAAATATGGCGCTTGTAATTTAAAAATCATATTTCATTTTCACTTACGAATCATGACCATTAACTTCAAATTTAAAGAAGGTATATATGTGATATATGGTAACGAATTTAAGCTGTGATTGGTCACTGAGCGTGAACACATAGGCTCAAAAGGAAATAAGACGAAGCATAGTGATGTTAACTTGATAGAAGAAAGAAAACACTCAACTGACATCAGAAGAAGAAAAAGCCCCAAAGAAAATAAAAACTAGAGATATTGTCATAGTTCCAGCGGACAAACGACTCACTACAGTAATTATGGACAAAGAAGAATGTATCAGGAAAGCCGGAGGTTTGCTTGAGGATAAAACGTGTATAAATTAATGAACACAAATCCAATCAAAAGGTTAGACAACCAAATTTCAAGGACATAAACAAGCTTATAAAAAGATGACAAATATTAATTCAAGATCAATGGAAAATAAAATCCAGTAAAGCAGTACTCGCTCGATTCTACGGTAGTTCGAAAATACACATCCAAACATTTTACTATGCCCAACTGTATCACTCCCATACAACATACAATTTATCGAGAGAAATTTAAAGAATATTGAAGCATTTAGTGGATTCATTCAATCAATCCATCAAATCTATCATGCAGTTCTTGTATAAGGTTAAGGAGATTCACATCAACAACGATGATTTTATGATATCCCTCAATGTAATAGCCCTATTCATTTCAATTAAACCAAACCTAGGAAAAGAAATTTGATCCCTGCTCCTTAACAAAGACACATATCTTCCAAAGTACACAAAGCTTCAAAGTCAAAGTTTACTAGAACTCATCGATTTATGCCTAACAACATACTATCAATTCAACAACAAAATCTACGAACAAACGAAAGGAACACCGGTGGAATCATCAATATCAGGACTTATTGCGGGAGCAGCAATGCAGAGACTTAAAGCCTCGATCTAACCAAAGATCAAGCCGAAAATGCCGATTCTTTATGTTGTCGACGCATCATCATCAAAAAGACGAAATGTAAAACACTAACAATCTGATCTGAGCAACAACCCAAGAACTCACAAAATGGTTTGTGTACAACACTTATTCAGGAGGTTGGGAATACACTGCAGCACACCTTCAGTGCGGGAAAATAAAGAAAAGTATCTAGTGACTATCTTTCAAAAGAACACCTACCCATTCGAATTCACCAAAAAGTATCAACTCAACTCGTCATCAGAAACGAAGTCAAGTACAGAAAACAACCAATGGATCATCCTATCATATATAAAAGGTATGTCAGAAATTAAGAGATAATTAAAGCCGTTAGGAATAGGTGTAGCAAACAAACCAGCGAAATCACTTCAAACAATTCTATGTAAAACAAAGGATGGTATGATAAAAGAAGAAAAACCGAACATCAGCTATAAAATAAACTGTTACGACTAAGAAAAATATTATATTGGATAAATTGGGCGCCCACTTCATCTTCTCCTGCACTAACATTGTTTAGCGGTCAAAAGCCGTGACATATCTTCCCTCATATCAATGTGTGTGAGCAACTACGGACACGCTTTTGACTGGAAAAATGTTGAGATATTAGATAGAGGGAATACCAAAAGCATCAGGGGATTTTTAGAAGCTTGGTACTTAGGTGAATCAACAAACACATTGGAATCGAGCCAATCTATCAATCAATCAAAAAACATGCACAGATATAATACTAAGAATCAAATCAAAGGGAGATACAATCAAAATAATGTTAGGCAATGATAGGTTAAAGGTCAACAATAACCAATGAACATCGAGGTTGACAGGACAAGCTGTGAGTCAGATGTGGAGAAATTCAAACACTTTACTTCTACTTGATGTTTGTGCTGATGATATTGTTCAGAAGAGCAATGAAAGCTCACCAACCAAACCATCCAGCTCAGATAACAAAACTACCTAACGCACATCCTACGGACTATTAAATATGTGATTTCCTTTCCTCTCATTAGTTTCTACTCTGGACTTACTGGGTGTAACTGTTTGTGATTTTGTTGGATAAAGTATTACCTAGTGTTAATCTGGTCCTCTATTCTGGGCCATGAATCATGGATCTAATATAGCGTGACTAGTCTCTCTATCACCGGAGTCAAACAAGGCTGCCTACTCTCCCCCCTTCCTCTTTCTTTTGGTGGTTGACTGGATTATGAAGACCTCCACATCTGAGGGAAAGCACAGGATAAAATGGGCAGTTCAGAACCAATTAGACGATTTGAACTTCGCAGATGATCTAGCCCTCCCATCCCATACATACGAACAAAGTCAGATAAAGACAATTAGTGTAGCAGCAGCCTCTGCATCAATAGGCTTCAAAATACACAAAGGAAAAAGCAAGATACTCAAATATAACACAGGGAACACCAACTTAATCACACTTAATGGCGAAACTCTGGAAGATGTGAAATCCTTCACATACCTGGGAAGCATCATCGATGAACATGGAGGATGCGATACAGACGTAAAAGCGAGGATTGGCAAAGCAAGGGCCGCATTCCTACAATTAAAGAACATATGGAACTCAAAAAAAACTTTAAACCAATAAAAAATCAAAATCTTCAATACGAACGTCAAGACAGTTCGAGTGTACTTAGCTGAAACTTTGTGAACTACCACAACCATCATCAAGACGGTACAAGTATTTATAAATAATTGTCTACGCAAGATACTCAACATCCATTGGGCGGATATCGTCAGCAACAGCCTTCTGTGGGAAAGAACAAACCAGCTGAAGAGGAAATTAGGAAAAAACGTTGAAAGTAGATAGGACAAACATTGAGGAAACCACCAAACTGCATCAAGAGACAAGCAGTAACTTGGAATCCTGAAGGGAAGTGGAAAAGAGGAAGGCCGAAAAACACATTACGTCGGGAAATAGAAGTAGATATGTAAAGGATGAATAACAACTGGCAAGAGTTGGAAATGATTGCTCAGGGCAGGGTTCGATGGAGAGTGCTGGTGGGCGGCCCATGCTCCTCCACGAGGAGTAACAGGCGTAAGTAAGTAAGTTTCACTATCATATTAACATATTATCGCTGTATACCTATGTTCCGGCGATCCAGAAAATTCTTTGAAAAAAGTCAAAAAGGTTCTGAAGACTCTGAGAAACATCTTATCAAATCAATATCCAATAGAAGTTTTGCCAGAAACATCTAGAAAGTGACAAGTCACATTTCGCGTTTCTGATTTGATTATCAGCTATGCTGTTACTATGTTTAGTAGTGTTCCAGAAATTTCCGAAGGCCCAAGACCATTTAACATACTATAGATACCCTGAATTTTCTGTACACAAACGAATTTTGGAGTGAAGCGTTCTTTCTATATTTCGCGCCTTTTCTCTCGTGTTCACGTTGCTATGTAGATTAGCCTGAGGGGGATACTAGAGAGCTTAGGAAACAGAATCTGGAGTTCAGTTAGAAGAATTACCAACCTGAGAGAGAAAAATATATTTCAAACCATCCGTTATGTAAACATTAACTTCACCTTTACATAATATAAAGATCCATTATTATGTTTTTTAGTCAACATTTCTTCTATGATTTCAGAACCACTTAATAATTCTTATGGTGATGATTATTGTTACATTTTCCACTTATTGTGTCTGAGATATGTTATGGACAATTATCCGCAAATAATTTCACACCGCATTCACGCTCCAATCATTGCTCGCTATGCCAGTTATATGACTGAATAAATATTTCCACAGTAGAAATCACAAGTTGATCTACGCTAGAACACCACCCTGAACAGAGGACTTAAACCCAGGGCCTTCGGTTCCGCATGCGGATACCAATGAGCTGGCATCTAACGGTGTTAATATCTAACTTCAATTGATGAATGATCTTGTGCAACCCGTCATCCATTGTGCGAGATCGTGGGAATTCACTGCTGACGAGTTCCGTACTAGAACGCAATGGTCGTTCAGTGTTTCCAGATTTTCAGTAGTGATTTAGCTTAGACCGACTCATGAATTCTACTTTGATCCACTATAATCTCCACAAATCCCCCTTACTGGGAATAAATATTTAACAGAGAAATGTTTTTTCCACCTTTAACAATGACCCAATTGATTTCTCATGCTAGATTCTGTAACTGGAGGAAATAAAGTTTGCTGCTCAACGATTTGTAGTAGTTAATTATCTAACGGAGGCAGTAAAGTTACCAGTATTATAATTTCCAGTTATTTCACGTACTAGTTGCTACACTTATAATGAATATGAAAAGTTTCATATCGCCTTCCATGTATCCACTTTTGAGGGAAACGTAGAGGCTTTTTATTTAATTTGACACTATCTAATTACTGTAAAGTTGTAGTAAAATAGAAACAAGTGATTGATTGTAGGTTATATCAGGGTTATGAATTTTGATAAGTGAAAAGTTTAGCCTGGATGTGAAGCCAAGGGCGGAAGATTTCATTTGTTCATGGTGTGTTTTGGTCTAACTTCATTAAAACAATATTCATCTTACTGATTTACCAGAATCATTTCAAATTTTACACTGAACAGTAAGCATTGAATAGTTGAAATAAAATGTCAACTATATTTATACTTTATTTGAAAAACAGTTTTTATTGACCTGGCTTTTTACATTGACTTTAGCACATAATTTTTATGAACTGAACAACGTAGCTAGTGGTGGTTTTTATTCAGTTTCATGCTAAAAAATATCAGTATTTCACACTCGATGCACTTTTTGTTTGGCACTAATATGCATTCTCTTTTTTTAAAAACTAATTATAGTATTACCACGAAATATTTGACTTTTGGTTTAAAATGTTTTAGACAACCTGTTATCGAATTCCTATCGATTTGACAGAGAAATATTCTTCGAACGATGAGATTTCTTACATTTTGGATAAATCTTTTTTGATGAATCATAACAACACAAATAGCAATATATCGGATAATAACAGTAATAACAGATCAAAAATACCATATGTTGAGCCAGATAATTTGATAATAGTAACAGCGAATTCATCATGCTGTGACAATTTTCTTCGATGTTTCTCTCTTCCACTCAGTTCTAGTGGAAATGAGAACAGTTTGATAAGAGATTGGACAATTGATTTTTACTGGAACCGTACACCAGAAATGTACGAGTTTGGTGAAGAGGGTTGGAGTAGTGTTGGTTCACCTGTTGGCGCATTATCAGGTGTTTATGATCTGGTTGATGTAAAACTAAAGTATCGTATTGATAGAAATTCTGGATTTGACTTTCTAATAAGTGGAAATGGTATGTTTAGAGGTTACTTCATTTTATTAAACTATACTATTCCCTGCAATGAAGAGGTTTACGTTTTGTTTTGCTTAAATTCACCTTAAGAAAACAGTCGTCAAATATACGCCTTTTAGTTGTGAGTGGTTGTTAGTTATTGGAAGAGTCTTAAGGCTCGAATTCCTTCTTCTTGGTCATCATTTGCAAGTCATACCAACGATCTTTTGCTCCCTTAGTGGATACAAGCCTACATCACATAGTATTGCAGTAACAAATCCCATGATCTGTCTGCTTGAAACATGTTACAACTCCGGTAAAACTAAAATATATACGCTAATTAGTTGTCGATCGGCAACCGATCCAGCGATATCTGGTCTATAACTGCTCTAGAATGGTACATTGATAGTTAACGATTATTGGAACTATTGGTGATTAGCAGTTAGTATGTTATTTCTCTTAAATGCATCTGATTTGTTGGAAGAGAGCCAATTTCTTCGAACCAGATCCTTGAAATTCTGTGATGCTGAAATCTAAGGTGAAAATATCTGTTGTTCCATCGCGTCTATACTAACTTACGTAATTAATGATTTGAATTTTATATAAGATAATCGATAATTACATTTTTTTATTAAACAGTTTCTGGTTCTCTATTATAGCTGAATTTATTTTGTAGGTGCTACCATGTGATTACGTTTTGTAAATAAGATAATAATAATTTATTAACTTATTTTCATTCTGCATGCTTTTGTTGTTGTTTTTTCACCTCTGTGTATAAAAATACCGTTTCTACTCTGAAAAAATATTTTTCAAGTAGAAGCATCATTGATAATGATGATAACGAAACTTGAAGATTCCATGAAGTAATCATTTATGTTTCGTCTTAGCGTTTATTTAATTTCTGCAAATGTTTCGAAACCAAATAACTAACTTATTACTCTGAGTCATGAAATTAAAGTTTTAGCGTTGTTGTTAAATAGCAAAAGCAACTGGTAAGAGCAAATAAAAGGAGGAAATTTCATTCCAGTCACGATGAAATAGGACTTAACAAGTAGACATTGTTATATGCATATTGTACTTCGAAATTGCTTGAGGTGACTAACTCTTTGACATTTGTAGATAGACAAGTTCAAATTTAATGATTCTCTTCATTGAAAAACTGGATGTATTTTGCAGACAAACACTATATAAAATGCACAGACCTTAGTTTTGAAAACAGTATTTTCAAACTACGTTTTTTCACATCAGCGATTAAAAATGAAATTTCTCTATCATTTATAGATGGTCCAGGTGAACAAAAGAATGTTTTGTCAAATTTAAAAAAAAAAAGATATTTATACAACAATACCACTAATTCTGAATTTTCAGATAAATCTTCTAATGAGCAAGATGAGATGTTTTGAACGAAATCCACTATATAAAAATAACAACCAGAATGTTTAACAAGAAAATATTCAGTTTCTTTCAACTTTATAAAAATCACAATTGTCTTAGTTTCAATTTTGTGTCTTAAATAATTTGATTATAATAATTGAAATGAATAGAGATTGAAGGTGGTTAGTAGTAGTATTCAGGACGCTCGTTAGATTCTACTTAGAACTTTTCGGTTGAATGTGCCTGCATCCGAGTTCAATCATTTTAAATTCCATCACATTACCTACTTAGCTACTGGAATCAGTAGCCGGTTCGAGTCCCAGAGTGAACATCAACTCTGAGATTCAGGTAGGCACAGTTGACCAGTCTGAATAGAACGAAACATCCATCCTGAATTCCATTGCTTAAAATTGCTTGTGACTTAATGGTAATATTGAGGTAGTATGCATAAATGCCAAAAGAAACTGATCATTCATAGTCGTAAATATCAATGAGAAGATTTAACCAACCATTAGATATAAATTAAATAATATCTAGTTTTTTTATTATTCAATTACATTTCCATATATCAAAATGAAGAGTTTGTCTAATAAAGATTTACTTTAGCCTTAAATTAGAATGAAAAGCTTACAGATCATGTTCACAAATCATGAATATTTTTGATTTTCCATCAGATAATTGAGTAAATTAATCAATATATATTTATGTGAAGAGATTTATTTTATTTAAAAATGATCGGTCAATTCAAATGTTGTGTAATAAGGGGATCCATAAACTGATTTATATTTTTCATTGTTTATTATTAAAACTATTTTATAATAACCTACACACATAATTCAATAGTTGGTTTCATTGAATGAATATTCATTTAAAAAAAAAAGCCCAATATGAATGAAAAAAAATAATAATTAAAAATTAAACAATTTCTAATTCATAGTCCATATATATCAAATGTATTTTATGATAATGATTCGTAAATCATGCAAAACTTAAATGATTAAAACTAAAAATAATAATAATTATCATTATTATTATTATTTAATTAAATAGTGGAAAAATGAAAAATAGGGGGTTATGGAAATTTAAAATTCCTGTGACAGTCATAAAACTTGAAACTTTCCTTCTTAACGTGCACGTATCAGGCTTGTATCTGTCGATAATGAGGGCTCTGACAAAATGCATTGGTTATTACGAACCGTTTAACAATGTCAATAGTATATGTTCAGTAGTTAATAATCTGAAATAAGTTACTAGCAAAAGTGCAATAGTTATTTACTTATGTTGTTAGAAGCTTTGATCTCCTAGATATTGATTTATTAGTTTGGAATAAAACATGGTATTCCAAATTAGGATGAAGTTTCAATCATTTAATTTTTTTTTGGTTAAAGTTTATCAGTTGAAACTTGAATAAAAAAAAATTAGTCTTCAAATTACAGTAAGCTTCTATAGAACATTAAAATGACAAAACATTTGTTAGGACTTTCAAAATTTTTCTAAAAAGTAGTGTTTTTTGATAACTCACAAGTGTACATAAATTTTGATAGATACTACTCCAACTAAATGGGCAACGAATTCTTAAATTTCAAAGATTTGGATTTATTCCAAGCTCATTGTGTCTTCCACTTTTTTCTTGAACATTTGATCCACCAAGCGACATCAGTTATAGGATCTACTGTTCGTTTCATGGTGTCATATCATAAACCAGCATCATTTGGTTTTTATAATTACTTTGAGCATCACTAAATATTATTGAGTATGAAAACCACAGAACAACCATATCTAAAACGACTTAAAGTCATGTGCAGTTCAAACGGGATTTCAGTATTTATGATTGTATAGTAATCAAATCTCTAAGTTGCTAGCAAAAGCAAGTATTTCCAATCGCGGTCTCTGTGGTAATTGAATTTTGCTGAAAATAAATCCATGCTCAGCATTTGGTCGCTGAGTGATAATCAGCGTCGTGTTTATTTACTGCACAGTGTTGATCCATTCCCATCAATATAAAGACTAATTCTTTCAGTTCGACATCGGAGCTATTGTTTCAACCAAGAAACTGGAAGACATGAGTTCAGATCTTATTTGGTAACATTAGTTTTCCGAAGACTGACGATAGTTGATAGTAGAAAACACTACCCAGCACAAAACTTAGGTTCAAAGGTTCTGTAGATCATCTTTGAGAATTTAATGTATCTTGATGTTGCATAGCTAATAGTTTCTTTCCACAAAATGAAAACCATGTAATACCATAGCATACAGCAACAATGAGGGTATTCCTATGTTGATAGCTTTTTTGTAAATGAAACTAAATCAATGGTTTTCAAGTTGTCAAGTAGAAGTTTCTGCTGTAATGTAGCTCCGTTATTTTTAATCAGTATGAAATGTTCAATTATATTTCTCATAAACAAAACAGAATTAATAAATTCTGTTTTGTGCTATAAACCAACAAAATGTCATAGTAAACCTTCAGAACAAAATGTATGTCAACTATTTTTTTTAAAGAAAAATAATTTAATAGAAATGATTTGTCTTAATTAAAAATTCAAATGAATTACATGAAAACAAATTTATGCAAATATGTTAGCCTGTTAAGTTTGATTAATACGATGTTGTTAAATATTTCGTTATAACACATTTCGAGAAAAAAAATATTTTTCCTTATAAATGTGAAGTAAAATTCATGAAATGTGATAATTCTCTAGTTTTCTATTGATATAAAAGAAAACAAGAACATTCATAATTCGTCGTAGATAGAAACGTCCTAGTTATGGATATTTTAATTAAGAGCGACTTAGAACTATTTTCAAATTATTTGCATACAATGAAATGTTCTGGATATTTATATTAAAATTGAGAACTGGTTGGACTAATCAGCTGCTTTGTTCTCATTTTTGGACGTTCGAATGCAGTGTACATTTGACTATAAGGTGAGACATCGAATTTAGGACTTTAAGCTATTGGACAAGGATCAAACCATTTAGTTACTGGGTCAGGATAAAGTGGTCACCATAACCAACTTTAGACAATCGGGTATGTAGCAGGGTTGTCATCAAGAGTCCTGGGAGAGTAAATTACTCGCTGCTGATTGAAAAACACCACTGACCACGGTTTCCTACTAGAACGTTTGGAAACCAATGTCAAAAAAAGTCAATGAAAAAGCATAAAATTTCATTGAAATCATAAATTCGGATGCTGACGCACTGGTCTAGATGTCAAGCGTTCATGTATTAAACTGAAGGTCTTGAGTTCGATTCCCAAGGGTGGGATGGTGAATGTACATTACTGCGAAGTTCCATAATAGGACGAAATGTCCGTCCACTGCTTCCAGGCTTTCAATAGTGGGTCTAAGATTAATTGATGATTTAAGTGAAATTCGACAATCTCCACAACCCCTTACTGATTGGTATCAAATTGTTTTTGTGATAGGTAGTATATGAAGATTTGATGCTTTATAAAGATGATTGTCGTCACGTTCTGAAATTATGCTTGATAATGGCCTCAGTAACCTTTGGCCTCACATCCAGGCTAAACTTTTCACTTATCAAAATTCATAACTTTGACATAACCTACAATCAATCACTTGTTTCTATTTTACTACAACTTTACAGTAATTAGATAGTGTCAAATTAAATAAAAAGCCTCTACGTTTCCCTCAAAAGTGGATACATGGAAGGCGATATGAAACTTTTCATATTCATTATAAGTGTAGCAACTAGTACGTGATTTTTGATTCAATATTTCTGTTGAAGTGAAGTTGAGTGATGAATTTGAAAAAGTGGATAAGAGTTAACCTCGGTGCATGGTTTTTTTATCACTTGGTGGTCAAAACCTGATATCGTACAATGTTTTAGTTAGGGACTTTCGATTACTTATGTAGTTGATATCTTATATGTTAAAAACGAAACGACTTGTTTTCTAGGTTTTTAAAGGCTGTGTAGACTCAATGTATTACTAGATAATTTGAGATTTGAAGCGAAAGGCACTGAATTCAAGTCGCGGTGTTGACTTACTTACGTCTGTTACTCCCAACGGAGCATAGGCCGCCGACCAGCATTCTTCAACCCACTCTGTCCTAAGCCTTCCAATCTAGTTCTATCCTATTTTTGTTCATTTTTCTCATGTCTGTCTCCATTTCTCGAAGTAATGTGTTCTTTGGTCTTCCTCTTTTCCTTTGGCCTTGAGGATTCCATGCAAAGGATTGTCTTGTGACTCAGTTCGGTGCTTTCCTCAATGTGTGTCCTATCCACTTCCAGAGCTTCTTCCTGATTTCTTCCTTCACTGGGATCTGGGTTGTTCTCTCTCACAGTAGGTTGCTGCTGATAGTGTCTGGCTAACGGATCCAAAGTATTTTGTGTAGACAACTGTCAGTAAACACTTATATCCTCTGGATGATGGCTTCCCTAGTTCTCCAGGTTTCCGCCCCATACAGTAGAACAACTTTGACATTTGTATTGAAAATTTTGACCTTGGTATTGGTTGACAGTTGTTTTGAGTTCCAGATGTTCTTCAGTTGTGAATATGCTGCTCTTGCTTTGCCGATCCGCGTTTTCACTTCTCCATTAGATTCACTGAGTTCATTAATAATGCTTCCCAGACATGTAAAGGTTTTTACATCTCCCAAATCTTCGTCAAGCGTTATTCGATTGTTGCATGCTGTGTTGTATCGGAGAATCTTGCTTTTCCCTTTGTGTATGTTGTGACGTACTACTGCTGAGGCTGCTGTCAAACTGGTCGTCTTCTGCAGTTGTTGTTGTGTGTGTTGACACTAACACTAAAATATAGATATGTCCAGATGATATGCTCTAAATGAAACGAAATGGTTGTCCTTAATTCTACTACCAGCTAATATTTAACCGTAAATTGGCAGCAATCCTAACGTAAAATACCTCCACACTTATAACAGGATATCGATTTTTAACTAACTGCGCTTCTGGTCATATACACAGCATATTCAGTATAATTGGAATTCATCTTCATATTCATAATGTTCTTTTATATTTAACAAGTAAGTAAGAGAAGTAAACACTCATTTTGTTGAGGAATTTCATTGGTGTTTTTTGTTTGATATGTTGTGAACGTTCAATAATCTCTTAGAATTGTAAATGATAGTAAATGATAGACGGTTTTTTTAAAAAAAAAGTTATCTGTTGTTCTATGAACATAATTTCAAAGTTCAAGATTGTTGGCATAAAATTCTTTAGTTCTATGGAAAACTAACTAAATATTTTGTTTGTTTAAAGATCTATTTATTTAGGTTGACAAAATAATGCTTTAATCATATGGTGACGTGTACTGCAATAACGATTTTTTAAAATAGAAAATGATCCTTTATTATGATTCTGTTGATCAGTTCCTGATAGACCAATGATTATTTTTAATTTGAACGTTTTAAGTTATATAAGTTATAATAAGTTCTTAGAGCAGCGTTACATGTATTCCAGTTTACCTAAAGAGAGTTTGTAAATTAACAGTGTAACTTTCTGTTTTTCAACTAAATTAAAATTCGAAACCTTTTCATTGGGATAGCTCTGTTATTCTTATGTGTTAGCGGGACATAGACTGGATTGAAGCATGCTCAATGCATGATTGCTTTGATGCACGCTGATTGGCTAATTATTAACCAATCAGCACTACTCGATAGTTGGAGAACACTCTAGAACCTTCTCAAGTAAAAACTATAAATATACTAACGTTTTCTCTATTATACTTCTTACTTGCTTCTTACTTCCATCTAACCTTGCTATTTGGAATATAATCTCTTTCCTGTTCATCCGTATTCTGATTTGGGGACTTCTCGAGTGAATCGGTGTCCGAGAATACTAAGCAATAGGAATAGCTGGGTCATAACCGTAAAAAGAGATTATAACATTATGTTTCTCAGTTTTCATAAATGTTTCGACTGAAATGACAGATGTACAAACCATATTGTTTTGTTTAACTTGAATTTGTAGTAGTTCACTTAATTGAAAATGTATCGTTTCTTGACTTGTTACTTTCTGTCTTTCTCATTTTTTCTACCGTTTGGAAATGAGATTGAAGAATATTTTCGATTGATGAGTAATATTTTAAATAACATACTCCTAGGATCTTAGCGCTTACAAATTGACGTGAATATAACCTTAATTATGGATCAATGAGTTGTTTATTTATAATCCCTTAAGCGATAAGTTGAAAATCATATTTCTACCTTTAATTTTGCCTCAATCGTCGCGCTTATTATTTTTGTGAAGGTGGTTAATACAAAGTATTGCAAAGTTGGCAATGTAATTTTGTAGCTTGTTTTAACGCATTGAAATACTTTATTAACAAAGGCTTATGAAATCGATGCTTTTTTCTTAACGTTTATCTGAAATAAACATGTTTAGGAAGTAAATTATACTTATATTTTATATATTCCAAACTAATTGGCTTTAAATATTTTTTTTCGAGTAAAAAACTTATGCAAGATTGATTAGTTTTCCTTAAAATTCATTTTTATTCTTTAATCTAAAGATAGGGATACTTTATAGTTCAACGAAAGATTGATTTATGTCACTCGGTGTCTAAAAGAATTTGACGTTTTATCAAACAACAGCCTGTTTTAATGAACGCTGAACATTTGAGCAAATACGTGTTTTAAATAACTTCGTTAGCTGACTATTGAGTTGTAAATCCACGATTATTTTATTACAGTGGCCAAAACTAGGCATCAACAAAGCATTTTAATTAAAAAAACTTTATACGTCAGTATAGTTAGCTTACTACAGCTATTAGTGACATGGGTGTGGTTTTTGCAGTTATAGGGCAGTAGGAAACGTTGTCTAGAACTATTGTGAGGTAAATTCCATGTATTTAAAAGACGAATATTGGATTTATTAGTATCTCAAATGGAATTTACTGCATTTGAGAGACTAAAAACTCGGAAATTAAAACGTTATTTACTGTCAGATAATCAAACCTTAAAGACCATAAGGGGATTGTTGTGTTTTTAAGCCCAGTCGATTATCACATGATTTATTTGCCAATCAAAATGCAACTTATACAATCCTAGTACTGTGCCAAACCAATGACTTTCGACCTGTATCAGCAACCTAGCGCTCTTATTGATCCTTTGTACTCCTATCACTTCCAGTTGAGTCGAGAACGCTAACAACAGTTTTCATTATGGGAATCATTTATTTCAAACATACTTGATTTATATATCAGCCAAATAGATCACATAATATCATAAAATAGGAAGTAACATTTATGAAAGATCTGACCAAGAGGTGACTGTGGACGTGGGAGACTGTAATTAATAAAGTGAGCATAATTTAAGAATAGTAAGTCGTAAAATAATATTAATCTGTAGGTCAAAATGAAGCTTATAATATGAGGAATATATATAATAGTTACTGAATAGTTATACAATAAGAATATATATATATATAATATTAGTCTATTATCAGTCCTCAGAAGTTACGTGTAATTTGATTCTCACTAGGATATAGTAGGGATACTAAGCAAAGACTGATAGTGGCTAGCAGTGGAATCTTGGATGCGCGTTTCATCCTATTCATGACTCGTCATGTGGATTTACCTGCATCCCAGAGTTGCTGTTCACTCCGGAACTCGGACCCAGCGCCATTCCCTTCGCAAGCCATCACGTCGTCCACTTAGCTACTGGGCACACATAACTTGTGCAATAGGGTGGTTTAGTTTATATATATGCTCATGACTTAGGGTGATATCGAGGCAATCCTCACAAGATGCACACATGCCAATAAGAGACTGATTAATTGCAGTCCCAAACACCAATGGTAAGATTCGAAAACTCAATATAAAAATGATATAAGGGAAATTATTTAAGTGATTGGGATGGATTTCTCTATATTTATATTTGTCACACTACACTTTGTGTTTGTGTTTCTTTCATTTGTTCTGTATATAGAGTTCAAAAATATTTTAATATAACTTTTTTAATTTTCAGATCCTATTTATTTTTATTTTTATTTCTAGATACTAAGGAATTTATTGTACATAGCTTAGCTGAAAAGCGTTTACAAGCTAGAGTTGGTGATTATTATGAATGTGTTTCAGAGACTCAATTTGTTTTTGATACAGAAAATAGTACAGTAGTTAATTCGAATGATAATTACATTAAATCACATAACGACAAATGGAATATTATAATGAGTTTACAAAGTGTACGCTCTCAAGCATTTGCTGACGTCAATGTACCAGAATTTACTGGAGCAAGTAAGTACGCTTTCTTAGTCACATCCTGTATATGTAAATATAACTGACAATACCTCCTACTGTCAGCATAAATTACATTCAAAATAGCATGATTTCATTCCATTAATACAATTTAGCAGCAAAGCGTTGTACGATTTATCACACGTCAATATTGAGATTATATATATTTCAAAAACAGATGCAAACAACAAAGAAACATTTCAATAAACCATATATATATTGGTGTTGTTCAAAGAAGAACTATAAACACCCATAAAATGCGAATATCATGAATCCGCAATCGTCAAATGATTCATCAAAACAAAGAAGGAGGGAATCGAAATGAATATTATCATATGCTATGAACCCACCATTGATAGCAGTGACGAGGATAAACATCAGTTTTACGAGAGGCTGCAGTCGATCACAGAGAAGTGCCCAGAAGAGAACCTGACCATCCTCATAGGATACCTAAATATGAAAGTCGAAATGTACAACAAGATATAATGAGACGAAATGATGGACTAACTGAGAGAAAGGAACGAGAATTGCGAGAGATTCGCAAATTTATGTACATTCAGCAAAATGGTTGTAGGTGGAACTATATTCCCACATAAACGCATACACAAGGCTACATAGGTCTCATTCGACCACATCACAGAGAACCAGATTGATCATATTTGTATTACTAGTAAATTCAGAAGGTCAATGGAAGGCGGGAGGACCGAGAGAGGAACTGACATAACTTCAGATCACAACCTAGTGATTTCAAAGATGAAACTGGATCTTAAGAAGCACTGAACAACTGAACAAACAGCATTACAAAGTTTCAATACAGCCTTTCTACGAGATACTAACAAACTCCACGAATTCAAGTTAGCTCTCAGTGACAGGTTCCAAGCCTTACAAGATCTACTGAAAGAAGAAGAAACTCTTATGAAGGACAACAGGAAAGGGATCAAAGAAGCACTAACTTCAACGTGTCAGGAGGTGCTGGGGCGCGAGAAGTATCATCATAAGGCATGGATCTCTATTGAAAACCTAAACAAGATTCAAGAAAGGAAGAAGAAGAAGACAGCAATTAACAACAGCTGAACATGAAAGAGAAATTAAAGGAACACGCTGAATATAAACAAGTAAACATGACAATGAAGAGGAGTATCCGAGCCGACAAGCAGAAATACATGAGAGACCTAACACCGACGGCGGAGAAGGTTGCCAGAGAAGGAAATATGAGACGACTATATTGTGCAACGAAATAACTGGCAGAGAAATCTTGTAAACTAGAGAGACCGGTCAAGGAAAAAGAAGGCAAGCCAACCACTAAGAGACATCACACTACTATCTATACTGGGGGACGTTTTAAGCAGAGTGTTGTTGAACCGGATGAAGGATTTAGTAGACACTCAATTTCGGTATCAACAGACTGTGTTTCATGAGGATCGGTCGTGCATAGATCAAATCATGACATCACTGATCATTGTTGAGTGGAATTCGTCACAACAAGTCAAATTTCTTGACATTGAGAAAGCGTTTGACATTGTGGATAGGAGAACCTTGTGGAACCTTCTTCGACACTATGGTGTACCTGAGAAGATCGTCAACATTATTCGCAATTCATACAACTGACTTTACTACAAAATGGTGCGTGTAGTAGTACAGTTGACAGACGCATTCCGAATGAGGACCTAAGTCAGACATAGCTGTCTACTTCCCCCCTCTCTCTTTCTTCTGGTGGTTGACTGGATTATGAAGACTTCCAAATCTGAGGGAAGGTACGGATACATTTAGACAATTTGTACATCACAGATGATCTAGCTCTTCTGTCTCATACACATCAACAAATACAAGTGAAGTTCGCCATTTTAGCAGCAACCTCTGCAGCAATGGGCTTCAACGTACACAAGGGAAAAAGCATGATCCTCAAATGCAACACAAGACACCGACTGAATCTCACTTGATGGAGAAGTTCTGGAAGAGGTGAAAACTTTCACTTTTCTTGACAGCATGATTGATAAACAAGGAGGATCTGATGCAGATATGAAGGCATGGATTGGAAAAGCAAGGTCCACATTCCTATAGTTGTAGAACATGTTAGACTCAAAACAACCGTCAACCAACATCAAAATCACAATCTTCAATACGAACGTCAAGACAGTTCTATCATACGGAGCTGAAATGTGGAGAACTACTACAACCGTCATCAAAAAGTTACAGTTATTTATTAACATTAGCCGTTTCGCCGGATAACAAGCAACAGCCTACTGGACTGTCTATCGAATCAACCGAAAATTTGACCTTATTTATTTTCCATACAATTTAAAAACACAAAATTTCAACCCTAGCACTTCATGATACAACTACATACAATTTTTATCCACCTTCTACGGCACAAATTAATGCAGTGGCAGGTCGTACAAATTCATCTTGACCAAGAATAACACCACATTGACATATTCAAACCTACATTGACTTTGATTGTACTAAAAATATTCTGCCTTGTTTTGTTATATTATTTAAATTTGTGTTAATTGATTCGGTTATTTCTTTAATCTGAAGAAGTCTCTTACATCAAGTCACGGAACGTTAGCAATACAATTTTCTATTTATTGGGACCTAAGAAAAAAAATATTTATTTTTAACTTTCCACCGAATGCCCAATTTATTTGAAACTGTCATGTCCAACCTTGGCATTAATACCTATAAACAAGAATACCAATCTATTTAAGGACATCTTTTCTCATATCTCATTTGTTTCCTTATTGAGTTGAATATTTTGACTTGAATAATTTTTTAAGACAATTTTTTCATTGTGCTTATTTTTTTCAATTATATCTTTCTAGGTGTTGTGTGTGCTGGTGATATCTCACATGATATGAGTCTATCTATTGCAATTGGTTTATCATTGTGCAGTTTAGTTATTTGTGTACTATTCGGTTTAGCAATTAATCACTTAAGACAAAAAGATGAAGTCTTTAAACCCGTGGACACAACAGGAGATGACCAAAAGTCATGAAAATATAACGATGATTATGAACAATGTTCTCAAATTGCAAACATTTAGCATTATTATCACATTCATGACTTACATTACTCGTTTTTAAGTTCACCATTATTCATTATATCAGTCACCTAAACCAGATCAGTAAAAGTTTTGTGACGGAAGACGGGCGATAGTCTATGCATTTTTTCACATTTAATTTTCTATTTTAATTTTGGAATAAATACTACTTATAGAATTCCTACCGTCCATGTTTTTCTTCAAGAACTTATTAAATAAAAGATGACAATCCAGTAAAAGCAAATTTAAAATGTTTTTTGAAAGACGAAAATGGAATGGAATAACGTTTGACACGCGCTAAGTTTAGGGTTAGGGTTAGTGTTTTCATCACCAACTGATACTAGCTTGTTATAACTTGTGACCACCGATTAGACAGAAGTGACTTATCGATCTGACCAATGACGCGTAAACCCGTATGAGCAGCCTACAGTCTTGATTGATCCTGCTTTCAGCCTAGCCCAGCCAGTTAAGACCAGAACACCAACTCGAGCCTCTGCAATATGAATCATTATATTTCAAACATACTGAGTTTATATACCAACCAAACAGATCACAACGTACTATAAAATAGAAAATAACATTTGTACAATATGAACCTTACACGAATAATTTTCGTGTGAAAAATAAGTTTACAAGTAGAGAGACACAAAAACATAATACTTTAAGTATTGCATAAATATACAACAAAAACACAAGTCTTAACCCCGAATAGAACAGCTTCAATTTTGCTAAATATTTATTTCAATATAGAAATATCACATAAATAAAATTATTGTTATAATCTCGATCCCTAAGAAAAGGCAAATAGGAGACACGATAAATAGAAAATCACGAAGAATATAAAAGGTAGGGTAAGGGTTAGGGTTTCAAGTTAAAGTAGGGTTACGGTGGGGGTTAACGGCTCCTAACCACGTGACCTTGAGGTGCCGAGTCCACAAACAAGACGTGCACACCCAGCTCCACCCTCTGCCGGTCGATGGCTGGGCAGCCAGCATCAGGGTGGGGCAAACTGAAAATCACGGGACCAATCTATATGCCTTGCAACAGGACTGGCAACCACGTGACATCGAGGTGCCGAGTCCACAAACAAGACGTGCACACCCAGCTCCACCACTTGCTGTTCGATGGCTGTGTAGCTAGAACAATGGCGGGGCAAACTGAAAATCACGTGATGATAGTGGACTCGGCACCTCAAGGTCACGTGGTTAGGAGCCCCGTTGCTAGGCATTTAGCTTGGTCACGTGATTTTCAGTTTGCCCCACCCTGATGCTGGCTGCCCAGCCATCGACCGGCAGAGGGTGGAGCTGGGTGTGCACGTCTTGTTTGTGGACTCGGCACCTCAAGGTCACGTGGTTAGGAGCCCCGTTGCTAGGCATTTAGCTTGGTCACGTGATTTTCAGTTTGCCCCACCCTGATGCTGGCTGCCCAGCCATCGACCGGCAGAGGGTGGAGCTGGGTGTGCACGTCTTGTTTGTGGACTCGGCACCTCAAGGTCACGTGGTTAGGAGCCCCGTTGCTAGGCATTTAGCTTGGTCACGTGATTTTCAGTTTGCCCCACCCTGATGCTGGCTGCCCAGCCATCGACCGGCAGAGGGTGGAGCTGGGTGTGCACGTGTTGTTTGTGGACTCGGCACCTCAAGGTGACGTGGTTAGGAGCCCCGTTGCTAGGCATTTAGCTTGGTCACGTGATTTTCAGTTTGCCCCACCCTGATGCTGGCTGCCCAGCCATCGACCGGCAGAGGGTGGAGCTGGGTGTGCACGTGTTGTTTGTGGACTCGGCACCTCAAGGTGACGTGGTTAGGAGCCCCGTTGCTAGGCATTTAGCTTGGTCACGTGATTTTCAGTTTGCCCCACCCTGATGCTGGCTGCCCAGCCATCGACCGGCAGAGGGTGGAGCTGGGTGTGCACGTGTTGTTTGTGGACTCGGCACCTCAAGGTGACGTGGTTAGGAGCCCCGTTGCTAGGCATTTAGCTTGGTCACGTGATTTTCAGTTTGCCCCACCCTGATGCTGGCTGCCCAGCCATCGACCGGCAGAGGGTGGAGCTGGGTGTGCACGTCTTGTTTGTGGACTCGGCACCTCAAGGTGACGTGGTTAGGAGCCCCGTTGCTAGGCATTTAGCTTGGTCACGTGATTTTCAGTTTGCCCCACCCTGATGCTGGCTGCCCAGCCATCGACCGGCAGAGGGTGGAGCTGGGTGTGCACGTGCTTTTTGTGGACTCGGCACCTCAAGGTCACGTGGTTAGGAGCCCCGTTGCTAGGCATTTAGCTTGGTCACGTGATTTTCAGTTTGCCCCACCCTGATGCTGGCTGCCCAGCCATCGACCGGCAGAGGGTGGAGCTGGGTGTGCACGTCTTGTTTGTGGACTCGGCACCTCAAGGTGACGTGGTTAGGAGCCCCGTTGCTAGGCATTTAGCTTGGTCACGTGATTTTCAGTTTGCCCCACCCTGATGCTGGCTGCCCAGCCATCGACCGGCAGAGGGTGGAGCTGGGTGTGCACGTGTTGTTTGTGGACTCGGCACCTCAAGGTGACGTGGTTAGGAGCCCCGTTGCTAGGCATTTAGCTTGGTCACGTGATTTTCAGTTTGCCCCACCCTGATGCTGGCTGCCCAGCCATCGACCGGCAGAGGGTGGAGCTGGGTGTGCACGTGCTTGTTTGTGGACTCGGCACCTCAAGGTGACGTGGTTAGGAGCCCCGTTGCTAGGCATTTAGCTTGGTCACGTGATTTTCAGTTTGCCCCACCCTGATGCTGGCTGCCCAGCCATCGACCGGCAGAGGGTGGAGCTGGGTGTGCACGTGTTGTTTGTGGACTCGGCACCTCAAGGTCACGTGGTTAGGAGCCCCGTTGCTAGGCATTTAGCTTGGTCACGTGATTTTCAGTTTGCCCCACCCTGATGCTGGCTGCCCAGCCATCGACCGGCAGAGGGTGGAGCTGGGTGTGCACGTGTTGTTTGTGGACTCGGCACCTCAAGGTCACGTGGTTAGGAGCCCCGTTGCTAGGCATTTAGCTTGGTCACGTGATTTTCAGTTTGCCCCACCCTGATGCTGGCTGCCCAGCCATCGACCGGCAGAGGGTGGAGCTGGGTGTGCACGTGTTGTTTGTGGACTCGGCACCTCAAGGTCACGTGGTTAGGAGCCCCGTTGCTAGGCATTTAGCTTGGTCACGTGATTTTCAGTTTGCCCCACCCTGATGCTGGCTGCCCAGCCATCGACCGGCAGAGGGTGGAGCTGGGTGTGCACGTGTTGTTTGTGGACTCGGCACCTCAAGGTGACGTGGTTAGGAGCCCCGTTGCTAGGCATTTAGCTTGGTCACGTGATTTTCAGTTTGCCCCACCCTGATGCTGGCTGCCCAGCCATCGACCGGCAGAGGGTGGAGCTGGGTGTGCACGTGTTTTTTTGTGGACTCGGCACCTCAAGGTGACGTGGTTAGGAGCCCCGTTGCTAGGCATTTAGCTTGGTCACGTGATTTTCAGTTTGCCCCACCCTGATGCTGGCTGCCCAGCCATCGACCGGCAGAGGGTGGAGCTGGGTGTGCACGTGTTGTTTGTGGACTCGGCACCTCAAGGTCACGTGGTTAGGAGCCCCGTTGCTAGGCATTTAGCTTGGTCACGTGATTTTCAGTTTGCCCCACCCTGATGCTGGCTGCCCAGCCATCGACCGGCAGAGGGTGGAGCTGGGTGTGCACGTGTTGTTTGTGGACTCGGCACCTCAAGGTCACGTGGTTAGGAGCCCCGTTGCTAGGCATTTAGCTTGGTCACGTGATTTTCAGTTTGCCCCACCCTGATGCTGGCTGCCCAGCCATCGACCGGCAGAGGGTGGAGCTGGGTGTGCACGTGTTGTTTGTGGACTCGGCACCTCAAGGTCACGTGGTTAGGAGCCCCGTTGCTAGGCATTTAGCTTGGTCACGTGATTTTCAGTTTGCCCCACCCTGATGCTGGCTGCCCAGCCATCGACCGGCAGAGGGTGGAGCTGGGTGTGCACGTGTTGTTTGTGGACTCGGCACCTCAAGGTCACGTGGTTAGGAGCCCCGTTGCTAGGCATTTAGCTTGGTCACGTGATTTTCAGTTTGCCCCACCCTGATGCTGGCTGCCCAGCCATCGACCGGCAGAGGGTGGAGCTGGGTGTGCACGTGTTGTTTGTGGACTCGGCACCTCAAGGTCACGTGGTTAGGAGCCCCGTTGCTAGGCATTTAGCTTGGTCACGTGATTTTCAGTTTGCCCCACCCTGATGCTGGCTGCCCAGCCATCGACCGGCAGAGGGTGGAGCTGGGTGTGCACGTGTTGTTTGTGGACTCGGCACCTCAAGGTCACGTGGTTAGGAGCCCCGTTGCTAGGCATTTAGCTTGGTCACGTGATTTTCAGTTTGCCCCACCCTGATGCTGGCTGCCCAGCCATCGACCGGCAGAGGGTGGAGCTGGGTGTGCACGTGTTGTTTGTGGACTCGGCACCTCAAGGTCACGTGGTTAGGAGCCCCGTTGCTAGGCATTTAGCTTGGTCACGTGATTTTCAGTTTGCCCCACCCTGATGCTGGCTGCCCAGCCATCGACCGGCAGAGGGTGGAGCTGGGTGTGCACGTCTTGTTTGTGGACTCGGCACCTCAAGGTCACGTGGTTAGGAGCCCCGTTGCTAGGCATTTAGCTTGGTCACGTGATTTTCAGTTTGCCCCACCCTGATGCTGGCTGCCCAGCCATCGACCGGCAGAGGGTGGAGCTGGGTGTGCACGTGTTGTTTGTGGACTCGGCACCTCAAGGTCACGTGGTTAGGAGCCCCGTTGCTAGGCATTTAGCTTGGTCACGTGATTTTCAGTTTGCCCCACCCTGATGCTGGCTGCCCAGCCATCGACCGGCAGAGGGTGGAGCTGGGTGTGCACGTGTTGTTTGTGGACTCGGCACCTCAAGGTCACGTGGTTAGGAGCCCCGTTGCTAGGCATTTAGCTTGGTCACGTGATTTTCAGT